AGGATGACGCCATCATTAACAGAAGGAAATGCATGTTTGGAAGTAAGAGATGGTTCAAAAATGAATGTGATACAGGTGGAAGCTTGGTTGGCATTCAGTATTTCTCAGTCTGAGGCTCTGAAGTCAGGCTGAGAGAGTATTCACACAGCAGAGTAGCTGTAAAGCCAATCAGTGAAAGTGGATGAGACTATAGAAAATGATGGAAAGAGGAAGAAAAGAAAGCACTTCAAAATGACCATTTAAAGGCGTGGTGGCCAAATTGCTGCAGCTCTAATAGATAAGTATCAAAGTGTCACTTGTCAATTTGAAAGAACAGTTGCAGCACGGTAGAAGATACAGAAGCCAATCCACAGAGCTTTAAGGAAATGTAAACAAAGTAGACAACTCTTTCCAGGAATTCACCACTGCAGGGGTTACAGAATACAGGAAAATTCCTTTAGAACAGCAAAACATTATCCTGTTTTTTAAGTAGTAAAAATGATTCAGCGGAATAGTAGAGACTTAAGACCCCAGAGGGAAAGAGGAAAAAGTAATGAATGAATCAAAGTCCTCCAGTGGGAAGGAAGGAGTTAGATGGAGGGCAGAACCTGAGAAGTATGGAGATAGGATCAATTTTCCTCTCAGAGGGGAAAGGAGGGAATGGAGAATTGCTTGATGATGATAAGAGGAAAGAACCCCCGAGGAAACATTTTTGTCCCAGGCACCAGTAAGACAAGCCTTGTACACATAATCTACACTCATCTCTCTCCACCATTTCTCAAATCCAAGCAACCCCAAAAGGGCTGCCAATTACCCTCCTCTGAAATAACTTTTGGATTTACCCCTTTTCTTTCTATACTCATTCAGCTCAAGTCTAAGTTTTAATTATCATTGCCAACAGATGCCTCCATGTTAACATTGCCTCTACTCTCTCTCAGCCAGTTTTCCAAACACAGATTTCATCATATCACTTAGCTAAAATCCCTTGCTGGCTCCCAGTTCCTATCACATTAGTAACAAATGCCACAATCTGGATTTCCAGGCCCTATTACCTGATTACACCCATCCTATCCAACCAATTCCCAATAAGTATCTTCTGAAAATACTGTTAATTTAATTCTCCATATCCAAAGCACCCTTCTAAACCTAACCAAACCCAATGCAGCCAAGGCCAATCAAGTCCCACTTCTCTGAAGCCTTGACTGCTCTAGATTTCCTCATCTCTCCACTCAAATTCCTGAGCCACTTAAACATCCATAGCACAAAACTTAGAACAGGGGGTGGTTTCTGAGTATTTTCTGAATCCCCAAGATTGTAGAGAAAAGGAGAACATTGTTACAACAACGAGTTATTTTTAAGCAGCAAAAATGTCTCTATTCAACATCCATCCCATGGAAAATACAGTATCTATCGCTACCTAATGAGGCACTAACTAGTATAACAGTGTAAATCAATTACAAGTTAAAACTGCAAACAAATTTGGCAAAAAGATGCTGTTTCTTAACATCAATGTAAATAATAAAGAACCACTCCAATTACAGGCAAAGAAAAGATTATCTAGGTCAACCAGTAAACAAGTGACACTGACAAGGGTAACAAGACAGGAGCTTCAAAGAGTATTATGATAAACATCAAAGGTTTAAGAAATATTAGTGAATGACATAATGGAGGAAGGATAAAACAAGACTGGCAAAATAGCAGTAATTCTTTAAGCTGAGTGGCAAGTACATGGGGATATCTATTATTATCTGTTCTTTGGTACATGCTTGAAGTGTTCCATGGTGGACATTTATAAAAAGAGAATCTTAAATTGATTAAATCCTTAGTTTTACAAAATCTTATCTTCCTCACCATCATGATGAGAAAGTCAAGCAAAATAAAGTATGTCATCTCCCTATTGTACAATTTTGCTCGACAAATTTTTAAAATCTATTTGATTCTTGCATTATAACAAATAGTTATCATAACCAAAATTTTGATTGAGGTTTAATAACTTATTTTCTTAATCTTAATTTTACTTTTCAACATAAAATCTTTAATAAACCTTTTTCTCTCTATTATGAAATTTTAGTTCCCATTTTAAAGGGATTCATTTTCAGTGGTCTTCTTTAAAAAAAGAGAACCACCAATACAGTATGTACATCATACCATCCTGGGGCTAACTACATATTAAGCATTTTGAGGATCCCCACATCCATGAATACTGCCATAGTGTAAATTCTCCTTGAAATATCTAAGCAAAGAAGAGTAGAAAACAAACTGCTGCAAGTCAACCTGCAAGTGAGAAAACCAGGAATTACCTAAGCAAGAATGTCAAGAGACCCTTCAGAAGTCACTATTGAAAACCAAAAGTAATTAGATAGTATCAAGGGTTTCAGTCTTATCTCCAATAATCTCAAGTGCCGTGAAGGATGACTTATGTCTTCTGTATCTTTTTTTTTTTTAACTAGGCTTTTCACAAGGCTATGAAGACCCAATCAGATAAAACAGACCAGAGCACTCAATAAACTGTAAGTTATTGCCTGTTTAAACTTGGAGCTGTAGGAACCAACCTTCCTTCACAATTTTATCAAGCACCTACAATGTACAAAACTCTGTACACTGTATATGTACACTGGCAAGAATTAGAATCAACCCAATTAAGTATGAAAGCACCAGGTCAGAATTAATTATAATGACAATCATTTCACATCACTGTATGCAGAGAAAATAACTGAAGAGCACATGCAGGGAAACTGAAGAGGCTACTCATTTATGAGGAGGAAAACAGTCTGCTTACAGCTAGATATAAAAAACAACAGACAATATGATCTTAAATTGTCTTTCTCTAACTCCACAATGGGGGTTTATACCCTATTAACTACTCTTACTCAAGCCAAGGGAATCACATTCTATCACAGTATTACAGACAGAATAAAAGACAACATTCGCTAAAGATTTTCTAAATTTCCAGCTCTGAGCACATTACCGACTAAGTGCTCTATACCAGCTGCATCAATGAATCAATTGTGACTAGTAATAGTGTGAGGTTGCACAGAATATTTTTCATGATACTTTTCCCAACCTACACTGTTCAGCTAACCTTGCATTCTGAGATGACTTCACTTTAAGTTCAGTTGAAAATATCAAAAGCAAAAATCAAAGCAATAGATTTTTATCCACTATCTTGAATTAAGGCCTATTAGAACAAATTAAAGATACTTGCTTCTTCAAGCCCATAAAGTCTATGAGCAATTTAGATTTTCTGCCCAAAAAAAGCATTTCTACATTTACAAAGATTTGCTAACTCCCATTTTAGGTGCATAACATACTGTATATAGGATCCAATATTCCCAGTTGTTTTTATTAAAAACCAATATCCACTACATCAATTTGATGAGAACCAGATTTTTAATTCTAATTGTATTTGTATGCCACTAGAAACATCTATCTCCACCATCAGATCTGTTTGATGTAAACAGAAATGCAAAACTATATATATAAGACAGATTTCAATGTGAGCCCCCCCAAAAAAAGGATTTCTCTGAGCTACCAATAGATTGCTAACACAACTGCCAATTGGTATCCACCCTAAAAAACCTCTAGGACCATACAGACTCAAGATAAGTGCCAAATAATTTTTTTAAATCTGCAACTGCTAAGAAACCAAGGAATACTAAAACATATTTAATATATGAACCAACAGAAACAAAACCAACACACCCACAGTCTCTCTTTCTTAACTTTAAAGAACAGCAGGGCTATTAGTAGAGTGAATGTCTAATGCACTCAAAATTATAAATGAACACCATAAAATTTTTTTCTGATTAAATCTTTACACAGTATTTCAGAGGCATTTTATTTGGTGGGGGGTCGGGGAATCCTCTCTGACATTATAGGTGACTCTGACACTATGGCTGGGTAGGAACAAAATCTGAATCAAATATTTAAAGCTGAAGGGAACCTTTCATCAAGCAGTTTCAAATTTTAAAGATGATAAAACTGAGGCTAAGAGAATCAACGGATCACTTAGCTAACTAGAGACAGCTAAGAAATTCTGCATAAAATCAAATTAAAAAACTGTCATTTACCACTAATAGCACACTAACTCAAGATTTTTTTCCATTTCTGCACACATACCACACACACACACACACACACATATATATATACTTCAAAATTAAAAATGAGAAATGATTCAAGAGTCTACTCTGATAGTAGTAGCTGTCTAGAGCACAGGATGCTGTACCTTCAGCAGGAAAAAAAACTTATTTAAATTTTAACTGATGTCCAAGAAAGCCATCTCATCTTGGGTACTTCCATTTTGTGCCTAAAATGCACTTCAATCTAAAGCAAGAGTCACCTCATCAACTCAAAAAAAAAGCCATGACTTAGCAGAGAATAGGACTCCAGGAAATTAATTGGTTCACATGTACTCATGATACCAGCAAGCCAAAGCACACTGAAAAAAAAAAAAAAGCTTAGCAAATGTATATATCTCCATCTTGAAAAATTCAATCTGAACTCAAACACTCTTAAAAGTTTTCTTAGCCATTCTTCAATGGAGAGTTAATTGGGAAAATCTGAAAATAATCAAACTCATACAATAAATGAATCAAAATTTCCCCAAAAAGCCTGTCATTATCAATAGGCTTTCAGCTGTCAATTGATAAGCAGCTAAAAACCAACTAGTCAAGTTTCCCTTTAAGTTGCCTGTATATATACATTTATGTATATATTTAAGTTGTACCAAAAACTGCTTACAAATGGCAATTCCTGTGTAGTAGATGATGATGAAGTTCCAGGTAATTCTAGCATGTTTCCTAATGTACTGGTACTGGAATCTGGATCATCCTGAAAAGATAAATTTATTGAGTTTAATTGCTCTTCTATGGTAACGTTTGTATCTCCTAGTGAAAAGGGGGCTGAGAGAAGGGCTGCTTTTTCATTGCTGCCGTCCACTTCATTTCTTTGCTTATTTTTCTGTGTTTCAGTTTGAGGAGCTAATGGCAAGAATGGCGATTTGACTACACCGTGTCTACTCTCTGGTGTGCTGTCTTGTTCATTTCCCATGACCACGTCTACACCATTCTCTGATTTAGGGTCATAATTGCAGGTGGCATTGGTCTGAGTTTCCTCAAAGATCTCCTCTATACTCTCATCCTCTGTGACTGGCTGTTCTGGGTCCATTTCAGAATCTACATCTGCATCGTCCACACAAGTAAAATTCTCAAAGTGCAGAAAGCCATTCTTGACAGTCTTTGTTACTTTTACATGGAGTTCAGGGGAGTTATTACAAGAGGGTTCCTGTTTCATAGCAAGTGCTGTTGGACCACCAGGACTCAAGGAAGTGCAAACAATTGGCGACTGAGCTCTTGAATCACTTTTTTCAGGGTCTTGAAAGGATTCTGATCCATCAGCAGACCCATTTAAATACTCTACATTGATCATGGAGGCCAAATCCTGTAGTCTCCGCAGTGGAATGTAACAAGATGGAGAATCTTGTCCATAAGTACTTTGGGATGTTCCACTGGCAGTCGATAACTGCATAGTACACCCAGTAAGTGGCTCAGAAAAATTGGATTGACCATTACCGAAAGGGCTGTCCTTGTCTTCAGGGGCATCTAAATTCACTGGATTGGAAAAGGGCAGCAGACAATTTCTTCTAGGTAGTTCGCAGATCTGATCCATCCTGGGCCAGCATCAACCTGGAATCCAAACACACAGCAATTAATCTGAGTTAGCAGGCCTTTTGCCTCTTATCTTCAAAATGGCAGCCATTTCTCAAGGCCTAGTGGCCTCCATGCCTTTTTGCTACACTTTCATGGGTGGAAAAAGTTCCCCAGCTAGCGACGAAAAAATGGCCTCGGTGAGCCTCCCCAAACTCCACCTTCCCGGACAGGCAGATCTTGCCACATGGAAACAGCCCGTCCTTTTTTCCTGCACTGCAGACTGGTGGACAGTGGGGCTAAACTAAAATTAAAATCAATCCGGCAATAGAAATTCCCAAATCTCAAACAGGAATCATCCTTCCCCTCCCCCGCTGGGGGTCGAGCGGCCGGATCTCACGGAGGGAGGGAGCGGTGGGGTTCGAGGGGGGGCTCCCGGACGCTGCACAAAAAGGCCCCCCCCTTCCTGGCTCGCTCGGGCGCAGCGGTCACAATAGCCCTGCACCCTGCGCCCAGCCGGCGCGTTTGCAGCGGCCGTGCTCAGGCCGCAAGGTAGACGGGCCGAAACGGATGCAACCGCGAAGCTCGCCTTCCTGGCTGCAGGCCTGCTCGGTCCACGGCTGCTGGGCGCAGAGGCCGGGACGCGGCAGAGGGAGAAACAGAGGCAGCCGGTGAAGCCGACTCTGGGCAGCAGCAGCTGCTACAGCTTGACAAACATGGCTGCTACCGACGCCGCTGCCGCCTGCCCGGGCCGCGCTCCTTCCCGCATTCGCGGCAGCACCTCTGGGCCCGGCCGATCGCACTCATCAATATTCAGCAGCAAGCAAAGTTTGCGGCGGGAGGGCAGCCGTCCCCGCGCCCACCAGCCAGCTACCTGAGGGGAGGCGGAGGCCGAGGTGCGCGCGGGAGGCCGGCAAGGAACGGGCCGCGCCGGGAGGAAGTTCGCGGCAGCAAGGCCGGCTAGGCCTGAGCCCGGCTAGTAGTGATGGAGGGGGAGGGGGCCCGCGGCTGCAATGCCGCCGGCCACCAACCCCGCGCCGCGCCCGGCCCTCCCCCGCGCCCCTCACCTCACGGCCACCACCATATTCCCCGCCCGGCCGCCGCCTCCCTCCTCGCGCCAGCCCGCCACACAGCCCAGCGCACTAGTTACCGTGCCCCGAGCCCCTTCCCGGGCCGGCTGGGGGGAGGGGGTGACCCTCATTACACTGGGGCGCGAGCGGAGCGGTGGGGAGAGAGCGGAGCCGCTCGCCGCACCCCCCTCCCCCCGCGTCTCTCTTCAAAGTAGAAGGCAGCCAGCGCGACCTGCCCCGGCCTATTCCGCCGCCGCCTCCTCACACCCCCACCGCGCGCGCCCCCGCGGCGGCGCGTGCGACGGAGCGCCTCGCGCCGGTCCGCGTGCGGCTGGTTCCCCGAGTGCGCGCGCTCCCCTTCCCCCACCGCGCGCACGCTCCCTCGCCTCACTCTTTGGGGTTCAAGGCGGGTGAAGTCAGGCTCGCGAACGCGCCGCCCAATCAGCGGAGCCGCCGCTGTCGCCCCCTCCCCTCCCTCTGCGCGCCCGCTCGCGGCCTGGGCCTACGGGCCGGCCAAGCTGGCCGGGCGGGGCCTGAGGCGAGCTCCCCAGAGGCCTCGCGCGCCTCCCGAGAGAGTACGGGCCTGCGGGCGTCGTGGGTGGCACTCCGATCCCCTCACCTACCTCGGGGTGTTGCGCCGGCCGCGGGCTGTACACGGCTGCACCACCCTATCCGTCTCGGGCCCCAACCCCGGCGACACCTGGCCCGGCTGAGGCCTGTCCGACCGCCCCGCCAGCCCCGTTCGGGCCCGCGTCAGCCCCAGCCTCCATCTTAGGTTACAGCCCGGGCTCCCCATCCACTGGGCACCTGCCCTCAGCCCCGCTCGGCTCGGACCGAGGCCAAGGCAATCCCCCTCCTACCGCTGGTCTCACCTGGGGGCTTGGGCTGGGGTCTTCGAGGCCTCGGGCCCCGAGCAGGCTCAGCTGCAGGTGAACCCCTTGCCCGGCCGCACCCCAAACCCACACCACCACCACCACAGACCAAGCTGAGCAGGAAACAAAATGGAGGCAGCAGCTCGGGTCTGCTTCCCCGAGCCAAGCCTGTACAGCCCCAGGGCTCCCTCCTGCAGCAGGCCCGACGCCCGCGAGGCAAGGAGCTGGCTCGTCCCAGCCACCGCGGGCTGCCGCCCTAGAGCAGCGCAGACAGGCCGGGGATTCGGCCCTGCAGTCCCCACAGCCCTTCACCCACCACCTCTTCCCCTCCCCCTCCCCCCCATTCCTCTTCCTCCCCCTGCCCAGCCGCACGGGGTGAACGGCGACCGGGAGCCGGGTCGGGTCGGGTTACCCGCCCGGGCACTGTCCGCCCGGCCGGGGCCTCGGAATGAGGGATAAGACCAGACGACCCCCGCCCTGAGCCCACCCCCCCGCACCCAAGCCGAGCGGCAACCTGACTGCGCGCCTGCACCTCGACCTGCCGCCGTGCGGCCCCCCACCCAGTAAGGTCGAGTCCCCTGCCCGGGCACCGCCAGGACGAAGCTCCCTCACCACCCCCGGGCCCAGGGGGTCTTCGCTGCCTCGGGCGGGGCGAGGGGAGCGCTGGGGGGAGGGGTCCACTAATCCCTGCACCGCCTCCCCCGCCTAGTCTGGGTCTGGGCCTGGCACGGGGACTCGGGCCGCGGGCGCTGGCGGGCGTCTTGTAGGTGTGTGCGCGCGGGGCAGGGAACGCGGACTGGGGGCCCGGAGGGGACGCGCCTCGCACCACGGACACTGCAGTTCTCCGCACCCAGGCAGATGGCCCTCTCGTGCCACCGGCGCGGGCCGCCGGCTCCACATAGCTCACGGGGAAGCCCGCGCCTCGCCCCTGCGGGCCAGGCAGAGGGACCCCAGCGGAATTGCGCTGAAACTGCGCTGTGAGGGCGGACGGCCAGGCTCGCCCAGCCAAGACTGCGGGCCTAACCCCCAGCCTGGAGCGCTCTGCTCCCAGGCACCTGAGATGTTGAGGCCTGCACCCAGCGTCCGGGAGCCCCGGAGCACCAGCCTAGCCCGGTTGTGGCGCATCCAATCATAAAAGACTGCGCTAGGGCAGGTCGCAGAACACAAGCCCAATCTGACCTCGTGACTCCGGCCCCCCAGGCCCTTCCCCCAACCCGGTTCGACCCAGCCACACTCTAGTCTTGTTCCCTGCAAAAAGCTCACCTCGGGAACTAGCTGGTCCCTAGGGTGCTAAGCACATCCTCACTATCCACAGGAAACCAATACCTGCCGCCTTAAAAATTCTGCCTCCTCCAGAAAGCCTTCTGTGATTAAACTTCATCTCAAAGTTAAGGGCACCGCCTTCGAGAGCCACGTGACTACCATTCCTCCCAGGGCTTAGTAAATGTGCATATTATTGCCCCAGTGAGTGTTTACTCTCCACGATTCTGTTAACTCTGAGCCCATCTAGGAGAAAGACCATGTTTGCCATTGCAGGGTTCCCTAAACTCGATCCTGAAACTGTCCCCGGCAGGCCTGGAGTTCAGGATGCCCCTAGTTGCCTGCTCTCAAGGCCCACAGTCCAGACGTGGAGGCAAACAGGTCCTTAGCTCACCCTGAGTGCAGGAATGACAAGACAGCAAGCAAACTTTCTCAGAGAGAAGATGCCCCCTGGAACCAAAAAGATGAGGGGGGCCACTGTGACCCCAGGGAGCTTCCTTCTGTTGAAGAGAATGAGGTACCCTGAAGGTTCCCGGATGCAAAGTCAGATCAGCAGTGTTCTGTGTGGTCTACATCCCAGAGTCCTACTCTACAGGAACAAGCCCTTTGTTCTGCTAAGGAGTCACACACCTGCTAACCCCATCTGGGCAGTTCAGTGGGAAAGCTCTGACTGGTCCCTTCTTCACACCTAATAATTTGCACCAATCATTTCTGGCTGACAATTACCCCCTGCCAATTGTAACAATTCATCAAGGTTCTTCTCAACCTGTTACTTTCCCAGGGACCACCACTCTGAGCGCCTACTAGCTGCCACTCTACAGCCTTGAGTCAGTCACTTAACAGCCAGCCCCAAGCCTGTTTTCTCACTTGTGGCTTCCAGTGCACAGACCATCTGTGAGAATCCTCTAAGGTAAAGGTAAGTGTTAGGGACCTGTACAGACTAAGCATTTGATAAATGCTAAAATGTAATTCATTGCTCCATCCAGCAACCATTTCCTGCATTCCAGGCAATATGCTGAGTGCTGGGAAAACAAAGGATGAGATGCCCCAAGGAAAAGACAGTTACATAAAGCTGCTAAAGTATGAAGAGGGTCTTGGGACAATACAATGGTTCCTCCGAGAGCTGACCTCTAGACATCACTGCACTTATTGGAAACCTTTCCAACCTCCCAGTCCCCCTTGGAAGATGAATGAGTAAGGGTGAAAGAGGGACAGGCAGTTGGGGATGTACAGGTGACTGACTTGTCTCAGAGAGAAGACTGAAACCCCAGGAAAAAACTCTTGGACTTCCCTGAGGAGACCTCAGGGGGCCTTTCCTGCCTCTTAAGAGTAGAACTTAGCTACAGAGATCTCACCAACAGCAGTCCCCTTGAGCCTCCGCATCCAGCAGGCCCTAGCCAAGCACCACAAGTGTGCCAGCATATTCTCACAAGGACATTTAGTCCAAAGTAGGGGAAGAAAGAATAGGACTCTTCCTTTCCTCTTCATCTCAGCTCAAGGACCCATCCTTAAGTCAGAGATTAGAATCAATAAATTCTTGCTGAATCTGTACTGGACACCATGCTGAGCACTTGAAGCACATTAGTTCTTTTGACCCTTTAGTCGCCCTACAAAGAACTAAGATCTAAAAGTTTAAGCTCTTCTGCAAAGTCTCAGAGCCTTAACTGTCACCTGGTATAACTGGCCTCACATCACTTGCTCTTAGCCAGCATACCTCCCAGATACCACCTGTAAGGGCCCAGTACAATGTCTTGCCCACAGATGCTCAGGAATTGGAGTGTCAGGTAAAGTGAGATTACCTTAGCCTCAGTCTTCTGATCTGTAAATTATGGTTACTGATAATTCTTACCCTGAAGAGATAGATACCTGTCAAGACCTTTGACCAGTATACAATGACCCCTTTTTTTCTTAGAATTGCCCCCCCTTTCATTCACTAATTCAACAAATATTTACTGAGCTCCTCCTCACAGCCTTGTGGGGAAGACAGATAAGTACTAACACGGTAGAGAGCTGAGTACTGAGAGAAGATGGAGGAGCTGGGGAGGCTTCAGGGGCAGTGAGGGAAGGCCTCCCATAGAAGTGACATCTAGGTAGAGTCCTGAAGGATATGCAGGAATAGCCAGGAAAAGAGGTGACAAGGTAAAGTTTTCAATGGAAGAGTCCAGAGAAACACAGGCCTTGGAACAACTTACTGCAGTTAAGTGTGCTCAGATGTATAGAGTCCTGCCTATGCAGGGCCTTCTTGGTCAAGTTAAAGAATTTAGGTGTTATCTTGAGGGCAGTAGGGAGCCATGGAAAGTTAAGGAACAGGTTAAGGATCACACCTGTGCAGTAGGAAGTTCACTCTGCCAACAGCGTCCAGAAGAAATCGATACTTCCTCTAGAAACACAACCATGACCAAGGGTCTTGCCTCTGCAATATGCTAGGACTATCTTGTTCCAATAATAGTTGTGGCTTCTCTTCTGTGCTCTGTACTTTCCAAGACACCCTCTCATCTAATCCTGAGATTAAATGAGTAGTATTGTTATCCCCATCTTCCAGAGAGAAAGCATGCCTTAACTCAGAGCCAAACTCCCAACCCTAACTCCCAGCTCAGGCTCTTCATACCCAGTGGAGAGAAGCAGCATCTGCTTTCCAGCTATCAGCCAAGTTTTGGGAGCAGAAGGGAGGCCTTTGGTAATTACCAAATCACCAAATGCTGCTGGTGAACACCACAACCATCCCTTCGGAGGGGTCCAGCAATTATTTCCTTTCTCTCCCCACCCAGCAATTTACCAGAAGAAGATCAGGTTTTCACTTAAGATCAAGGAAGACTTAGCCATATCCAAAGCCATACCAGCCCTCCATCAGCTTCCTTCCTACCCAAATACCAGGCTTCTGTCTGCTAACCTGACAGTGTAGCCCCAGTCCCAAGGACTCAAGTATCTACCTTCAAGTGTTCTTTCACATTTTTTTCTCTTGAAAGCCCTGTGTGTGTTGGCTTTTGCCCTTACCACTTTTCCAGCTGTCCAGTGTATTCACCATGCCAGCAAAGGCCACATTCCATCCTGTGCTCATTTTGTTTCCTCTGCCTTTTTTTCCTGTCAGGCAAACTCCGACTCATCCTTCAGGGCCCAGTTTGGAAGACTCCTCCTGAAAGTCTTCCCTGATCCTACCCTGACAGGCAGTCATCTTTCCCTGAAAGAGCCCCTATAGTAAGCATTAGCTTCCAAATCTGGTCCCAGCCATTCGGTGAACCTCTTACCACAGGCTTATGTCCCTCCCCCCATCTCCAAGCTTGTGTCTCCATCAGACAGAAGAATTGTGGTTTGAATTATACACCAAATGGGTTGTGCAAAACTTAAACTCTCCCTTAAAGGATTCAGGGATGCTTGGGGAACACACAGGCCCCTGTGCCATACAATGCTTTCAGAAAGTATAAAAGAATCTATAGGATCTGAAGTCAGATAGATGTGGATTCTGACAGCAGCTAGCTACTTACCAGGCCAAGTGCCTCTCCTTCCCTGAGCCACACAAAAGGGATGGTTATACAGGTTAATATGTGACTGTAGACAGGGCCAGGCACCAGGCCCTCCACACAGCAACTGTTCCCTGGGTGCCTCCTTCAGGGTGCCACCAGGCTCCTCAAACCAACATGTCAGTCTTCCTCCCATGCCCCATATCTGCTTCTTCTCTTGGTGTATGATATTGTTCACAGATTAAAAAAAAAAAAAGACATGCGCAGATATTGTTCAATGTACTCTTGGCGTCCACCAAGCATTTCTGAACATATTGATTCCAAGGGGAGGAGGGGGAAGTGGAAGAATGCTGGGCTCTGGGGGAAAGCTGTCAGGGAAAGGGGGTGGTTGCAGTGTGTAGCCAGGAGAGATGTTGTACCTCCTGCCTGTATGAGGGTTACTGTTTTATATTCACCCACTCATGTCTCCTTGTAATGATTAGATAGTACCCTATTTTACAGATGAAAACAGAGGCTGAGAAAGAAGTGGCTTGTGAAAGATCCCACTGTGGCAAGTGGTAGAATGGTACAGAGTTTATACCTAATAGTTGCTCGATAAATACTAAAAGAAGGATCAGATAAGAAAAGGCAGAGATGAGACTTTGGGGTAGGGGCCAGTGAAATACATGGTCTTCCAGATTTTTCATTAAGTACCCCTTTAAATAATTTCAAGACAATATTTATATGACCCACTCACATTTGAAAGTTGGCATCTAATTTTGTTCTTTTAAGTCATATATTACAAATAATACAATTCTTGGTGTTCTGTCTGTGCACGTTAAATACATCTTAATCAAAACTTTGGGGCTGTAGTTTCAGCTCTATTGATTTATAGAAAACATTCCCCCTGTGTCTAAAATGGCAAAGCCAGGCCCTATCATCAAATCCCTCAGCCAACTGACTGACGGAAAAGATCTGAATCCACTTTACAAGCAAAACCAGATGCCATGACAACCATCCCCTTGCTAGGTTCTAATTCTAGGATAGATAGACAAGGCCAGCCAGAATCTTTCCCTGAATTTTTGGTGATGAAAGTCCTTGGAGAGCTCTGAGGGCCTTCCCAGCACCCTCTCTTCTGAGGTGCCCTACCTGGGAGATTCATTTGGGTAAGATGTGGCTTTTCTCTTCTGAGTGGGAAACGATCTGAAAGAATTGGAAAGAGGTGCTTTTTGAGGCAGACCAAGGAAGTTAAAGATCTGTGAACTTGTTCCCTTAATTCCAGCCATGCTCAGAACAGTCTGGAAAATCTTCACCCTACCCCAGGTGTAGAACTTAGGCAAAAACTGTGACTGGAAAAACAAACATGCTCAGAATAATCTAGGAAATCTTCATATCCCCAAGGTGAAAACCTTAGGCAAAAACCATAGTTGAAAAATGTATGGCTGTGACACTGCTCAAAGCAATCTACAGATTCAATGCAATCCCTGTGAAATTACCAACAGCATTCTTCAATGAACTGGAACAAATAGTTCAAACATTCAGAAGGAACCACCAAAGACCCCGAATAGCCAAAGCAATCCTGAGAAGGAAGAATAAAGTGGGGAGGATCTCGCTCCCCAACTTCAAGCCCTACTACAAAGCCACAGTAATCAAGACAATTTGGTACTGGCACAAAAACAGAGCCACAGATGAGTGGAACAGAGTAGAGACTCCAGACATTAACCCAAACATATATGGTCAATTAATATACAATAAAAGAGCCATGGACGTACAATGGGGAAATGACAGCCTCTTCAACAGATGGTACTGGCAAAACTGAAGAGCTACATGTAAGAGAATGAAACTGGATCACTGTCTAACCCCATACACAAAAATAAATTCTAAATGGATTAAAGACCTGAATGTAAGTCATGAAACCATAAAACTAGAAAAAAACATAGGCAAAAATCTCTTGGACATAAACATGAGC